TTGATGTGATCACGAAGTGTTCGTTTCCCGAGGAGGGCGTTGTCTAGGGAAGTGTGACCTGACCAGTGAAACAAAAAGGTGTGTACGAGACCCGGGTTCTTCCTTGGCCTCGGTTCCCTGCGTTGCCGGCGCATGACATTTCGCGGGTTTCTTGTCTTGGCGCTTCGCTGCAGTCCTTTTGTTTTTCATTTTTCCCCAAGGGGGCAATCAATGATCCGTGCGTCCTTCGAACGTCACCAGACGTGACAGGATGCGCCAACCGCCCTCAGGCCTAAGGGAAGAACCAATGCGAGAGAGATCACCAATTTGCACCCTGAAATACAAAACTTGCAAGAAGAGGTGAACCAAATGCGAAGCACACACGAAACGACTTTAGTGAGGAACAACTTGACTCCAAGGAATGAGTGTACCACCCACTTTAACACGTGCGTCTGAGAACTGAGACTCGTAATCGACTGAGAACCACTTCAGCCCCGCGGACTGATGGGCAACGTGGCGCCTATAGCAGGCATCACATATTCGGAATTTGGCGTAGAAGACCGCAGCCTTCCAGAACAATATTGAGCTTGACTGCCTGAACGAGACGAGATCATCAGCGTCAATGAGGCAAACTGGCCTGCATTGCGGAGTGACTTTGGCGAAAACGACGTAGTGCGGGGCAGGAAGCACCCTGGCAGTTGGTGGAGCCAAAAACGACTCTCAATTATATCTCATGACCGCAATGGGAGGGCACAGAACAGGGCGTGAAGGAACAGCATCATAGAGCCCCACGAGCACGGCGCCGAAGAGAGAGCACATGAGGAACAAGCGAGACACGTACGAGGAATGTCAACTCACGTCCATGGCGGCTTTCGTAGCAGCGGCGTCGTTTTTTCCACATTCCGAGCGCACTCCAACGTCGCATGATTCGCATATCAAGAAACTCTCATGCGCGCTGATGTCCTGACCGCAATAGTCACAGCAGTATTTTCCCGATAGGAGGGAGGTGCGCTCGCGAAGCCCACGCGGCGCTGGACAGTTGGGCTGGGAAGTTTCCTCGCATAGGAGCACTTTATCCTCTGCGAGCTGCGCATCACCGGTCAAGTCTACTATATGTCCCCCATAAACATCAGTATCCTGAGGGGCAGCTCGTACTGACGACACACCAAGCCTGTTTCTGAGCTCCTCGATTGCCCCCGTAGGGTTGTCGGAAATGATGCGTTGGACCACGCCGATAGGGTTATCGAAAAGGCTGGGCTGGAGGTATATGGAAAGGGAGCGTAACCAACGGTCACACTGACCCTTGCGACCAGGGCTCAAGACCGTGCACGCATCAATGAAATGCTTCACAACGTCCGATGCCATCGTGGTCGAGGAGGAGGGGCCATCAACCGGCAACGAAGGGACAACCTCCCCCGTCGGTCCATGAAGAACCGCTGCTGGGTGCTAAACAGGTAGTCCTCGACAAGATGAGCGTCAGTCCTGTGGGTCTGAAAGAGTGAACACTCCGTGCTGACCGCCACGCCAATACCATGAAAAGGAAAGGGGCCAGATATCTCATCCTCTTCACTGCTCTGCTGCGTACATTGGGCGATGTCGGTGATCTCCTCCTCAGACGAAACCATCGGTACAACAGCCATTACTTCGCCCTCGACATCGTCAAGTTCCTGCTTTGGGAGCGTAGGGGAAATGGCAAAGATCTCAGACAAGAGGGAGGACCATTTAGGGTGGGCAACCGCATTCCTCTTTCGAGTCAAGAGACCGAGCCGATTCGAGAGAGCGGTGTGCCCTCCGTTACGAACACGAGCTTTCGCATCTTGAATCCGAGAGCACCCGAGAGATTCCAGAATAGCCTCTTGAATAACTACAGGGTCCTCATCTGCATGGCGGTCAGAAGTGGCACTGAATTGGCTGATGGCCGCTCGAATGGCAAAGCGGCGGTCGCTGGAACACAGCGAGGAATCGGCAATGGAGTCGAACACACCAGTGAGCTCCATGAAGCCGAGAAGAACAATTGCAGGGAGGGCGCAATCGCGCCGCCGCCAGCTAGCCGAATGGCTTGAGCCAAAATGGTTACGGAGGTGCTTTGCTGCAGTCCTCGGCCGAATCAATGCCAACCAGTGACAAACAATGCCGATTTATATGGCGCAACACCAATCAAATCCCATGAACACCGAGCAATGCCAAGCAATGCCACGCAGTGTCACGCACTGCTTTCCAACACATCCCAGCAATGCGAAGCACCGCCAAGCAATGCCAACATGCTAAACAGCGCACAACAATTAGCAACACCAAGTAATGCCAACCTATGCCAAGCAACGACAAGACAATAACATACCACAACGCAACGAAATGCCCAAGCAACGCCAAGAAATACCATGACATCTCAGGCAACACTACGCTACGCCAAGCAGCGCCAAATGATGACAAGCAGTGCTAATCAATTCCAGGCACCACCAAGCAATTCTCAGCAATACAACGCCGCGCCAAACAACGCTCTGCTTCGCACAGATCTGTGCATACAGATATACAAACCATACCTATACGACCACCCTTCGGGTGATAAAGAGGTTCGGGGGGGGAACCAACGTCTCGCTCGATCGGTCCCAGTATCGATCTCAGTATCGATATCACTATCGGTCTCGCTCGATCAATCTCACTCGATCGATCTCACAATCGATCTCACTCGATATATCTCATTCGATCGATCTCACAATTTATCCCACAATCGATCTCACAATCGATCACACAATCGATCTCAAATTCGGTCGCAGTATCGATCTCATTATCGATATCGCAATCGCTCTCACAATCAACGTCATCATCATCAGCAACATCATCAACATCAACATCATCACCAACATCGCCATCATCATGAGGGCACCGTCATCATCACCATAAACATCATCATCAACGTCAGCATCATCACCGGGACAACATCATCATCACCATCCTCATCCCATCATCAACATCATCGTCATCGGGACACAGTCATCGTCATCATCATCAGCAGCATCATCATAATCATCATCATAATCGGGGCACCATCATGATCACCATCGTTCTCATCATCAACATTATCATCAACATCGTCATCATCCTCGGGACACCATCATCATCATGATCATCGCATCATCATCATCGACATCATCATCATCACCAACATCATCATCATCAGTGGGGCACCATCATCATGAACAACATCATCAACAACATCGTCATTATCTTTATTATCATCATCGGGACACCATCAGCATCACAATCATTGTCACCATCATCATCATCACCATCGGGACACCATAATCATCATCAACATCATCATCATCATCATCAACACCACTATCGCCGGGACACCATTTCCATCAACATCACCATGACCAACATCATCGGAATCATCATCGGAATCATCATCATCATCACCATCATCATCATCGGGACACCATCATCGACACCATCATCAACATAATCATCATGAGCATCATCATGCTCATCATCGGGACACTATCATCACCATCATCGACACCATCATCAACATCATCATCATCTTCATCGGGACACCATCTTCGTCATCTCATCATCATCATCATCATCATCATCATCATCATCATTCATCATCATCATCATCATCATCATCATCATCATCATCATCATCATCATCATCATCATCATCATCATCATCATCATCATCATCATCATCATCATCATCATCATCATCATCATCATCATCATCATCATCATCCTCGCGGGACACCGCGGGGCACCGGCGGGACACCGCGGGACACCGTGGGATACCGCGGGACACCGCGGGACACCGGCGGGACACCGCGGGCCCCCGGCCGCCCGGAAGGGAGACATTTGGTCCGCCCGCGCCTCAGCCACACGGGACACCAGCGGGACACCCGCGGGACACCGCGGGCCCCCGGCCGCCCGGAAGGGAGACATTTGGTCCGGCCGCGCCTCAGCCACAGGAGACTTTCTCTCGCCCGCCCACGCAGCTTCGCCTCGCCCGCACGGCACGCACGAACACGAAACCGAAATCGATTTCCCGGTAGGGGGGCTCTCCGTTCCACTTCGATCTCACCCCCCAACCTCCGATATGTACACACGAAATGGCCAACATTGCCTCGGAGGAGAGACAATCCCTCATTGCAATCGCGGCGGATTCATGTGATTCTGATGTGCGCGAACCAGATCTCACGCGCCAGAACTTCGCCAGCTCCAGCTGGGCGATTGAATCAAAATGTGGATCACTGCGCATATGCCTCACGCACCTGCGCTGTATGATCGACCAGCTAAAGGAAGCTTAGCATACATGACCATGGGATGAATCGTGCGGCGTTGGCAATGCGACGGTGGCGAGCGGCAGTAAGAATGTCAACGACACACTTTCAGTCCAAGACAATACATGAAACCCGCAAGGTCGCCCCAAGACGACCTGAAACAGAAAGGGCCTCCAGAGTGCCCAAGAGACCCCCGTGAGGGACCCAGGAGGAGCCCATGAGGGGGAACTGGAATGGGCCCCGGAGGCCATCCCACATAAGATGGCCTGCAAGACTCCCAGCATACCCCAAAGGGCCCAAGAGATCCCCAAGGGGCCCCCAACAGGCCCCCCGACGCCCCCAAGACGCCCCCCAAAAGGGCTCCCTTTGAGCACGGCCTCGGGTTTCCCAGATGGCCACACGGAGCCACGTCGCGTCTACGACAACGCCCCTCAGAAGAGGGGCAACCAGGGCTCCCAAAACGGTCGGCGGCGCGGCGTAAGCCCATGACTGAGCATTGTTCAACCCATCCTTATCGCCACCAGCGTGGGCTGGGCCCCACTGGCCGATTTACACCCCTGGAGGGGGATATAGGCTGCTCTCTTCGAGTTTCGGAGGGCATATCCCCGACTGAGGTGGTGAGACGGTGGGGCTCGAGATGTGGATGGGGATGGGGATAGGGCTCGGTTAAACGATACTGAATGACTCCTCACTCCGCTGGGCGCCGCTGCCCTAACATTTCAAATTTCCTTGCCCGAGAGCCTGGCCCCGGCCCAGCCCACCCGAGCCTCCGCGCCGGCCTTCCCGATCTCCGCGCTGACGTTGTCGTTCGGCCAGTACTGCAGAAAGCAGCCGATGCCTGCGGCGGCGCTCAAGAAGCCGTCCCCGATGCTGGCCGCAACCCCGGCATGGTCGGGCAAGTTGCTGTTCCCCTCGCAGAGGAACTCGGCAAAGCGGCGGGCGAACGTCTGGCAGTTGTTCGTCACCACGTTGAATTCTTTCGCGCCGTCGCCCTTGTTCCACTCGTCCACCCACCTGTCCATCTCCCCAGCGGTCTTCTGCGTCTCACCGACCCTGATGCGGCCAGCGGAATTCTCTGCGGCCCCCTTAATGAAGCGCGCCTGGTTCGGGTTACCCCCGGCCTGGTACGTTCCGTGCCCAGCGACGTAGACTCTCCAGTGCTGCGAGGGGCCCAGGGAAGTGCGCATCCAAAGTGCTTTTCGTCCCTCTCCCTCCCAGGCGGGGAGACGAAGGAGAGAAAATTAACAACGCAGTTCCTCCTCCCTACCCTCTTCCCGATCCTACTGGTTGTCGTGATCACTCTGCCCTTCTCCCTCGTCCCCCTCATTTCGTCCCGTTCGACATCCACTGACTCCACCTTCCCCTCCCCCTCGTCTTCCTCAAATTGTCCTCTCCCTCGCCCTCGCCCTCGTCGCCGTCGCCCTCGTCGCTGGCGTCCCTAACCTCCTCTCCTCGCCCTCCTCCCCTCCTCGCCCTCCTCCTCCCCGCCTCCCCCCGAAGAAGCAGCACCACGGAAACGCAATCCTGGGCTCCAGCTGCGCCGCCCAGGTCAACGCAGCGCCTCCAGTCCCGCCCTGCGGGCCACCGCCGCAGTCGAGGCTGTCTCCAGGCGCGCTCGAATATATCCAGACCCCAGTGCTCTTCGGCTTCTGCAGCTGCTCTACGGCCTCGGGCTCGATCCGCTCGAACTTCATATTTCGCTCGCGGGGCCGCCGCGAAATGCGCGGTGCGTGCGACCGGGGGCGCCGCAGCCCGTCGCCAAAGCGGCTGAGGAGAGGATGCTTTTCGGGCAGCAGCGGAAACGGAGAGGGATGGGACTGGGAGGGGGGCATGGGCTGGAAGGGGGCGCAACGGAGGAGCGCAAAGAAGCGAGGGATGAGAGAGGTGGGGGCGTGGGGGGCAGCAAGGTCCCCGTGGGTTTCTGGGGACCCTCCTCCCTGTTCCCCCCTTGCTCAGATCGCATCTGAGGAGGCCGCGAGCCAGAGCCAGGCGGCCCCCGCCGCTGACCCTCGCTTCCAGCCCTCCATCGCCCTCCCCATCCCCTCGCGCGATGGAACCGCGCGGGCGCGCTGGGCGCCTCCACCGTTCGGAGGCCGTCAGGCGTGCACAGGCCTCGCGTGCGCATGCGCGCGCCGCGCAGGTGGCGTTGCGCAACTTCGCGGCTGTCCAGTACCGTGGCTGCCAGCCCACATTGCTCAGAGAGGCGCTGGCGGCCGTGCTGCGCTCCAGCACTCGCGCCGAGGCGACCAGACATGCCAGCGGTGCTGCAGCCGGCGCGCCGAGCGGACCCGACATGCCACATGCCCGCAGATGCGCCAGCGGGATCTGCAGATGTGCCGAATCTCCCTCGTGCTCAGAATGTCCGTTCCATGAGTGGTGGTGCTGCCGTTGCGCTGTGGTGTGCGCGTATCCTGGACATAATCGACTGGAACGACGCCGATCTAGATCTGGCCACCAAGTGGTAGACGTCGACGTGGTCTCCGACGCGAGGCTGTTGTGTTCCATCCGCGTGCTAATGGAGATGCTTGGACTGTATCGCACGGGGGCCCTCGTGCTGCTCCACATGGCTTTCGTGCTGCTCCTCCTGGGCACTGCCTTAAGCCTGAAGCTGGCGACGCACAGGGCGATGACACTCCTGGCGAGCATGGCGACGGTGGTTCTGGAGTCGATCTTGGTCCTGGAGCCGACAATGGCGCTGCACCGTCAGTGTTAAGTCGGGCGTGTCCCCCTACAGGGGGATTTTCGACCCCCAAAAAAACTCAAAACATGCTCCAAAATTGTCAAACATATTCAACAATTGTCCCCAGGCTATTTTGGACTGTTTTTGAATACTCCCACTGTAGAGGGTCAGGCCCGACGTAACGCTTGTGGGCTTCACGATGGTGCCGCTGCCGGCGCTGTGGGCGGCTGCGCGAGGCGACCTCTGGCACGGAAGCGGCAGGGCAGCCCGACTGCCAGGCGCTGGCCGACCGCCGCGCGGCGGAGCTGGAGGCGGCTCGGCGGCGGCTGCAGGAGGAAGTGGGACGCCGCGCCCCGAAGGCCATGCGGGCCGACGCCGAGGCCGAGGCTGCCGCCCTTGACATCGAGGGCATCTAACTCCAGCGCCGTGGCGGCTTTGGCGCGCGAGGCTATACGCGCCGAGGGGCTGCATCGCGCCGGAGAATTGGCGATGGCCGAGGCGAGGGCCGCAGGCATTCCAGCCGTTGAGGCACCCGTAGGAATCGACCAATGTCTCGCGGAGCTCCCAGGTAAGCCTGTCTGAGGCTCATAGACAATGTACTCCTGTACTTTCCTCTCTGGGAGGTGTCTGTGCATATTCGAAGTCCTTTGTGCTTCACCAGCGGGTGGTTCGTGGCACACTGAGTTGATGGTGCTCTGTTCGTTTTCCATTCCAAACGAGAGGCCCCTTAATCAACATTGGCGTTTCCAGTGTGGTGCTGGATTGTGGCGAGGCGATGCGGGGCGAGGCGCCGGTCAGTCGTCCCGGCGGGGACGGCCCTACGAGAGCCAGGCGGTGGCGCCGGAACGCCGAGAATCAGAAAGAACCTTAGTCGAGGGGGAAGGAGAGAGGAGGAAGGACCCAGACCGTGAAGTGGAACGTTGGCACACAATCCCCACAATTGACATAAGCCAGAAATTTCGGCTCCAACGCCGACCATGCTTTCTTGTCCGTCGCAATGTGTATCCACCTTTTGTGGTCGTCGTCTCCCTCGTGTGAAGTGACTGTGCGTACGAATTGTATGATTTCGGCATCCAATCTTTTCCGATGTCCTCCATGGCGTCGTAGGGTTTGGCGTGGGTCGTGGGTGTTCGGGCTCCATTGTAGTAAGAGCCGCGTCCATGTCGTCGTCGTGGGTTGCGACGCGCGATGCCCACCGCCACTTCCTTGTGAAGTATACCGTAGGCCAATCCTCTACGCCTGCGCGCCGAGGGTGCTCTGGGGCTGCGTGCGTCGATCTTCGTATGAATTCTTCTCATGGTTCCAACCCGTCGTCGTCTTCTCTGTCGTCGGCTCTGTCGTGGTGAATGGGGGAGTCTGCTGCGTCGGCGCTGGTCGCTTCGTTGGTGTCAGTGTCGCGAATGTGGTTTTGTATATTGCGACGCCTTGGCATCCCGATGACAAGCCTGAGTATCATCCGCTGTGCACGCCGAAAAAAAGAAAAGCATGTCGCTGGTTAGGGTCCCAAAAAAGCACCCGTACATCACTGATGCTGTGGTTGTTCCGTTGAACAGCTTCAGTCGACTGTGGAGTGGAAAACGCTTGTGTGTCAACTCGTATCTTAATTGGTTGAAGCGGCCCCATCATGCGGCAATCCTATTGCGTAACTCTGTCTCGTGGAAATCGTGGAAAATAAGCTTCCTTCCTGAATACTTCGTGCTCTGGTCGGAACGCAATATTTCGATGCGTTCGCCGGTGATGTCGACATGAGAAATTGTTCTCCCCTCTCTCCGGCCGACGATCGTCAGGATCTTGGCTTTGTCCGGGTGCAGTGCCAAACCGCATGTTTTGGCTTGGGATTGTACATCTCGGAGAAAACAAGAAAAGTGTCGTAAGTTGGGGGCGTACGGCAAGACATCGTCGGCGAAACGTAGATTTGTGATCCGTGCTAGTGGCGCGAAGCCAAATTGGATCCCGAAGTTCTTGCGCTGCCACTCAGGTTTCATTTGTCTGAACACCTGCTCGAGGCCAGCATTGAACAAGAAAGATCTCAGTGGGCCTCCCTGTTTCACGCCACGTTCGATACTGAAAGCCCTGCTGGTGGTGTCTGTCCTTACTGTTGCCGTTTGAAGAAGTTAATGTATGCAGGAGGTATGTGCTGTTGTCGCAAAGCTTCCCAGAATCGCTCGTGGTCTACACAGTCGAACGCTCAAGTAGTGGCGAGTATGCCAGAGTTTCTTGCGATACTTCGTTGTGGGCCTTCGAGCATGTCCAATGGATTGATGTGCACAATACTTGGATTAGTGGAATGCTCACGCTTACTCGGCCCGTTTGTTCTGGCTTCCGCCTTTCCAGCCCCGTTGCTGCCCCCGTCCTCCTCGCTTCGAGGGGCTGCGGTCGGAATAGAATTTGCGTTCGTAGACCTGTCTGAAGGACCTCGTGATTCATCCGATCACAGGATCGCCTCAATGGCGTATCCTCTTCAGCCTCCTCCTTCCTCCTCCTCGTCTTCTAGGGGGACGGGGCTGGGAGGGGGCAACGAAGGTGGAAATGGTACAGGACGAGAGGGAAGGAGAAGGATAAGGATCGGGCGGGAACGCCGTTCTGAAAAACAGGGGCAGAGCGCGCAATTTTCGTCGCATGTGGCCGCCAACGCTGCAACGGGAATCCAATGTTTGAAAGACCGATAACGTTCCGATCGAAAAAAACATCTGGATATATATATATATATATATATATATATATATATATATAAACACAAGAAAAACACCCAGCGAGCACAACCAGTGCGCGAGCCAGGCTGCGGCAATGAACGGCCGAAACATGGGAGGGGCGTGTGGAGGGCGTGGAAGGCGGGGGGAGGAGGAGGAGGCGGAGGAGGAGGAGGAGGAGGAGGAGGAGGAGGGAGGAGGTGGGTGAGGAGGAAGGAGGAGGACAGAGGGGGAGGAAGAGGAGGAGATGAGAGAGTAGGAGGACGTGGAGAAGCAGGAAGGACACGTGGGGATGCGGAGAAGGAGCCAAACACGAAAGAGAGCCGGGGGCAAGGGCATCACGTCCCCGACGAATTGCAGCGACGGGACGGTGACGGCGGCGGACAGCGCTGGGCCGCGTGAACCGCAGCCCGTGGCGCCCCCCGCGTCGACTGCGCGCGGGAACACGTGCGCCTGCGAGCAGCCGCGCCGCTCCGGCGACGCGGCGAGCGTGCCATTCGAAGAGCGCTGCCACGGCGGCTGGGCGGCGTGCCTCTGGGCAGCGGTCTTCAATCCGACGACCTGCCAAACCAACCCGAGGTCCAAAAGTTCGGGTGGGGGGGTGTACTGGTTGCATCTGTGTTTGTTCAATGTCCCGAGATGCCTAACCCACTGAGGATGGAGGGCAAGGCCTTCGGGTTGGGTTTGTGTCTTCTAGTGGGTAGTGACGGTCGATGCGGCATGCGGCGATGCACGCGGGCGCGCTCGCCCTTGTCGAGTTTCCTGGTGTCCTCGCCGAGCGAGCCAATGGGCCCAAAGGAAGGCTGGGCGCTGGGCTTGGCGCCGCATCGCGCTGGCAGAGCCCTGCCGCGCACAGCGCACAGGACCTGGCAGCCAGTCAGGAGGAGGCTGGCGCCCCCGTCCGCAGCGCACCGCTGGCGCCGCGGCACAGAGCAGCGCAGGACCGGAGCGGGACGATGGGGGGCAAAGGGATGCGGTCGCCCCCGCACGGTTCGGGAAACTCTTCATGGGGGGGGGATCCCATGGGGGGATAGGATCCCAGGGGGGGGATCCCATAGGATCCCCTGGGGATCCCATGGAGAGTCTCCCGAACGGTGTGATGACCACGCCGCGTGGTGAGTCAGTGGGAATGCGGCATGCGGGGTCACCGCACGGCTGTGGAGGTCGTTTCTCCGACGACGTCCCCGGGCGACCGGGGCCCTCCGAGGTCCAAGGACCATTGCGGTGACGGACCGCGCGGTGGGGCCTCTTGGGAGTTCGAGGTCACCGCGAGTGTCGGCCAGCCGACGGGCACGGCCGGACCTAGGATAGAATAGCATCCTTCAATAGAGGCCTCCTAGATGGGATCCGAGTAGATGGGGTCGGAGGATAGCGCCGCATCGACGATACATCGACGATGCATCGGCGATGCATCGGCGATGCATCGGCGATGCACCAGCGATGCATCGTCGACGTCAGCGATGAATCGGCGACGTCGACGTGAAGCAAATCGGGCTCCACATCGAGCCGCATCGGCGATGCATCGGCGATGCGGCGCGCTCCTTCGACCCCATCTACTCCGGCCCCATCCGGGAGGCCTAGATTCAAGAACATGAGACCCGCCGCCGGTCAAACTGAAGAACATTCGAGAGTACCCTCCCCCAGGGTGCACAAGGACATCCAGCAAGCACAAAGAACAGTAGGGAACCCTCCCCGACCCGACCTCGATCTCATACCTCGGTCCGACCGTATGCCGATGCCGCTGCTCCCTGGGGCTCTCCCGGGGTGCGTCCTGACGGGAATATCCAGGCGAGTCCAGCCGTGGCGACGTTGGCGTCCCAGGGCGCGCCAGGAGGGCGAGCAGCTCCTGAGATGAGCGCAGCGGTTGGCCAAGAGGGCGGGCCACGAGGGCGAGCAGCTCTTCTCCTCGTCCTTCTCCTATCCCTCCTCCTCCTCCTCCGCGTCTCCTCCTCCTCCTCCTCCTCCTCGTTCTCCCCCTCCCCCCCCGTATTCCGATCGACCGTATTTGACTCTCTATCATACCTCCAACCCAACTCGAAGACACAAAGTTCGGGTTTGGGAGGTATCGGTTCCATATGTGTTGTTTCAATGGGCCCGCTCCTTTTTCTTCCGATCGACCGTATTTGACTACCTACTAGACTACCCCAACCAAAACCGAAGACCCGAAGTGCGGGCTTGGGGGGGTTTTGGTTTCGAATATGTTTTTGTCAATGTTCCCCGACGCCCCTGCCCCCCGGGAGTCGTGGGCAACTTTGGGGCCTTCGGGATGGGTTGGGGTGGTTTGGTGGGTGGTGAATGTTGGTGTCGGTATGTGTTCCTCTTCTGGTGGACAGCGTTGCGCCTCCGCCTCACCTTCTGGAACGGAGCGCGGATCATGCCGTTCCGGTGCTCGCGCCCGTCACGTGAGCGGTAGGAAGTCTCAGTCTTCGCGCTTGTTGCGAACGCACCCAAAGCCATGCATCCAGGAGGACGCGTGGGCAAAAACATCTTACCGGAAGCGGTGCCTCTATGGGAACACACAACTCTTTAACTGGAGGAGGAGGAGAAGGAGGAGGAGGAGGAGGATGAGAAGGAGGAGGAGGAGGAGGAGGACTGGCGGTCCGCTGCTGTCGCGGGCGCCCTCGTTTCCAACGGCGTGTCCACCTTGTTGGGGCGTCCCCAATCCCCGTAAATGGAACTTTTTGGTCACCGATGACGTTCTCCCCTCTCCGTTCCCGACGCTGCAGACACCTGGCTTGCAAAAGCCTGACCCTTGGAGCCCAGAGCTCGTGACACACACTTTTGATCTGCGGGGCGAGAGCGAACCTCTTCCGCTAAAAGCAAGGCGGGCTACGCACAGCTTTCATTAGGGAGACAGGGCGCAGGAAGGCGGAGCTCGTGACACACACGAACGCACACACAATAAAAATCAAACGCGAAAGGCACGCGGACGTTTCGAGCACATAAACTGCCTGCTGACGCCGGCCCTCCAATCGGCTCCATCGTGGATGATGCCCCCAACCGCGGCAGCGTGCATTGCGAATTGGCGTCCCAGTCGTTCCGCTGGCGTCCCACACTCCTGACGTCATTCTGCGTCAGAGAGAGCCGCGTCGGGGACCCGTGAGCAGGGGACCTCGGTGAGCCAGGGCGTGGGACAGCCCGCTGAGACTGCGACCGTGGGCTGAGACGCTCTCCCTCCCGAACGCCCTCCCGCTGGGATTGGCACCGCCCACGGTTGCAGAGCCCTGGCTTCCCGGGACCGGAGGAGCTCAGCAAGGACCCGTGAGCGGGGAATTCTTGAAAGAGCAGGGGCACCAACGAACACTGCGGCCGCGGGTCGAAGCCCTCCCCCTCCTCTGCGTTTCCTCCCGCCGGAATGTGCAGAGTCCTGGCTCGCAGTGCTGGGGCCGTGGGCTCGGCCCCCTCCGCCGCCGCCACGGACAAGACAGCGCCCAGCAGCACACCAGAGAGCAGCAGCTGAATCAGGTCTCCGTGTTCCATGACTTGACGTGCAGGGCTGCGAACTACGCGGCATTAGACCACTCAGTTCGAGGCCGACTTGGAGCAGCCGCTGTCTCAGCTCGCCCTGCTCCGAGGGAGGCGAGGTCGGCCGAGGGCCCAATTCCCCCCCCTGGGCACTGGGAACTCCCACCCAGCCCACCTCAGCCAGCGGCTGCGCTGGGTGCGCTCCGTAGAAGCAGCCGTGCAGATCGCGCATAGTCCAGCGCCGCGAAGGGGGCGAAGGTCCCGGACCACTCTGGCCAAGAACGAGAAAGAGGAACTGGGGGCAAGGGAGGCGGGTGAGGATGGGAGGGGGACACGGTAGGCGGACAAACGGATGTTGAAAGGGGGGAAGGGTAGGTAAGACGCTGACTTGGGACGATTGCCCGTATTCTGAGAGGTGGAGCCACCCTACCTGTAGGCTGGGCGGAAGAAATGGGAAAAAGAAAACCGAGGCCCCCCACGGCGCTCGGGCCGCGTGGGCGGCCGCGCGAGCGCGGGTGCCCTCCGCTGCATGTTGGGCAGCTCTGGCCTCCCGGCGCTGGCACGCAACCTCCCTGTTCGCCGCGATGCAGGCGAGCAGCTCAAAGGGATGGTGGGGGAGGAAAGGGACGGAGGAGGGGAAAAGGGATGAAGAAGGATGGAGAAGGGGGGGGGGTGGAGAGGGGGGAGGGATGGAGGAGGGAGAAGGAGAAAGGGATGGAGAGGCGGGCGGTTTTGAGAAAATGGAGGGAAGGCGCGATGTAGAAGGGGGAAGACTAGGGAGCGCAAGGGGGCCGGGATCCAGGGCTGGAGGGGGATCGCGCGAGGCGGGGAACAGCGGGGGAGAGTCAGGGGAGGAGGAGGACCAGTGTAGACTCAAGAGTTATCAACCATGTTGGAATAAACCCTCCCTCCAAGCTCCTTCTTCACAAGCGCCTACAACGGTTCAGTTCCATTGAGGGAACTGCCTCGTTGGAAGACAACCGCTCGAACACCCTGAGGCATGCCAGAACATTATTCTCGGGATTCCAACGCCACGGATCAACCTGACAGTTGCCTCTTGTGATCCTGAATCGTTCCAGAACGCCATCCTTGGGACTCCAACCCCACGAACGAGAAAAACTGTTGCACCCTCATAGTCGTGAATGCTTTCAAATAACAATTTATGGCACTTTGATCACTGGAATCCGTGAAACTCTTGCAGAATTTGAAAATTAATATGCGCGGGGCAAACGCGGGAACCACATTTTGAAAAGGAAACGCCCTCAATCTGTGAACTTCCGGCACATGTTGAAATCGAATGCACGCGGCGCTAAAGCGAGAACCACATGTTGAAGAGGAACCGCCCTCAATCCGTGAAACTCTTGCGAATTTTGAAAACGACCTTGCGCTACACTAACGCGGGAACAACATTTTGAAAACTACCCGCCCTCATTTCTTGAAACTCTTGCACATGTTCTGCAAAAACGAATGCGCGCGGCGCTAAGGCGAGAACCACATGTTCAAAAAAGACCCACCATCCTTCTGTGAAAAGGTTGCCAATGTTTAAACTTCAGGGTCATAAATGGTGAGGAAGTCTCGGGCGAAACGCCAGGCCCACCCAAAAATCTGGCCTCGGGGTGCGACAGGGAGAAGTTATTCAAAGGCAACAGAAATGGAGGATGAGGAGGAGGAGGAGGAGGAGGAGGAGGGGAGAAAGGAGGAGAAGGAGGAGGAAGCCTCGCATATAGTAGTGCCAACTTCAAAAAGGAGGAGGAGGAGGAGGAGGAGGAGGAGGAGGAGGAGGAGGAGGCGAGAGGGCTCAGCTGCTCAGATACGTGGAGGACGGGAAGGAGGAGAACGAGAAGGTTCTAGGTTCGGAGTTCGAGAGTCGAGGATTAACCGTGCTCTGCCCTGCCGCCTCTCGAGGCCTCGAGAGACCTCCGGAGGAGGCTCCAGCCGTGGAGGCGAGGGAACATCTGCGGCAGTGGTGCCCGCTCCTCCCCTGCTCTCCTGGAGAGGCGGAGGGCCGACCATAGGGGGAAAACAAACCTGCCTCGCTTTTGACCACCCTCGCTTCCAAGAGATACCAAACGATGTCAAATTGCAGCCCTGTGCTGGTCAGGCCGCTCGACGAGGGGGCGCGTGGTGTGGCTCGGTTTTGCCTGGAAGCGAAAGCGGGGTAGGCAGTTCACGCTCAGAGACCAGGACGACGACGAGGACGACGGCGTGCACGACGACGAGGGCGACGGACGAGCTTTCGAAGCCAGCGGAGGGCCCCTCTCCGGCCGTCTGCGGGCGCGAGGCGCGGGCGTCGGGCGCAACGGCCACACGCGCCGGGCCGCACGGCCGTGGCACGCGGGGGGCGGGGAGGTCTCGGGGGGGAGGAGGCGTGGGATACGAGGAGGAGGAGGAGGAGGAGGAGGAGGAGGAGGAGGAGGAGGACATCGAGGAGGAAGCGAAGGAGGAGGAGTGTGAGGAGGAGGAGGAGGAGGGGAGGAGGAGGAGGAGGAGGAGGAGGAGGGTGAGGAGGAGGGGGTCGGGAAGGAGGTCGGGAAGGAGGTCGAGCGGGAGGTCGAGCAGGAGGTCGTGGAAGAGAGGCGCGATGAAGGGACGAGGAGAAACGACGAGGACGAGCAGAGGAGGAGGAGGAGGAGGAGGAGGAGGAGGACACGAAAGGGACACAGGGCGGCGAGCGGGAAGAGAAGGACAGCGAGCACTAGCAGGATCATAATGAGGCAGAGGTGGGAGAAACCGAGGGAGATGGATGGAGATGGGGATACCTAGGACAAGATCCGCATGCTGCGGTCCCGTCAACGCCAGTCCTGCTGGATCGGCGGTTGCGCCCTCCCACTCTGGCCAGGCAGGCGAATCCGCCAATCCTGGGGCCAGGAGACCGGCCAGGCTTGGCCTCGTAGGTGAGGAGTGAGATCCCCCTGGAGTTTGGGTAGGTCAGGTTAGGCTCAGAGTGAGATTCAGATTCTTACTAAGTCAGTGAGGCGGTTAAGGGTTAACAGTCAGACCAGGCTCAGGGATACGGGGATACTGCTTGGGTATTGATGGGAAGGGTAATGACGGGGGCTGGGACATTGAATCCCACCAGCCCTTTAGGGCGTGAGTGGTTTAGATAGTCCTCTCTGTTCTCAACCCCTTTCTCCTTCGGGGAGCGGTTCAATCACGGTTCCCTATTAATAAACACCCCCTCCCCCAGGCGACTGGGGGCCAACCCAGGTCCATGCCAACACCCCACCACAACCCCTTGTAAAAACCAATCCAAAACACACATTCTGCCTTCAATTCGGAATATGCGCAGCCAGCCCGATGCGCCCCCACCCCCCCCCACCACCATCCCTGTCAAAAAACAATACAGAGTACACTTGGCGGAGGCGGCGGCGGCTGCGGCGGCGGCTGCGGCGGCGGCGGCGGCGGCGGCTGCGACGGCTGCGGCGGCGGTGGCGGCGGCGGCGGCGGCGGCGGGGGCGGCGGCGGCGGTGGCGGCGGCGGCGGCGGCGGTGGCGGTAGCGGCAGCGGCAGCGGCGGCGGCGGCGGCGGCGGCGGCAGCGGCGGCGGCGGCGGCGGCGGCGGCAGCGGATTGGCCCCCAGTAGCTACCCATCCAAAGACGACTGCTGAATATGCTGAGGCTCGGGCCAGACTCGGTTGCTACGTATGTGTTGGGAGGGCGGGTGGGAGTGAGCGAGACGGCTTGCTGGCGGGGGGGTGCCTTGACCCCTCCCCCTACCCCCTCCCCCTGGGCCTGGAGAGGGGGGGGCCGCGGGTCGCTGGGGCGTCCTTTGTCGCTCCCTGGAAGGCTCATTTTGTGACACCCCTCACAGGGATCGTGGCTCCAGGGGGGGGGGGGCAAACAAGTGCTTTCGTCTTCTTTGACCGATCTCCTCCAAGATGGCCGCAAGAGCGCTCCCAAGACGGCTCCAAGACGGCCCAAGAGGGCCCCAAGACGGCCCAAGCGGCGGCCAATGCGGCCCAAGAGGGCCCCAAGACGGCCCCAAGAGCGCCCAAGTGGCGCCCAAGAGCGGCCCAAGCGGCTCCAAGACCGCCACAACACTGCTCCAAGTGGCCGCGGAGCCTCCCGAGGACGCCCCCGAGAAGCTAAGACGGCCCAAGAGGTCCCCAAGACGCTCCAAGAGAGCCCCGAGAGGCGCCCTGAGAGGGCCCCAAGGAGCCCAAACCATTGATTTTCCGTGGGCGCTTCAAACATTTTAGCGTTCCCGCCCTTTCGGCTTCCCGACGCTCCAAGACAGACAGCCCAAAAGGCATGAAAGACCGCCCCAAGAGGGCCCCAAGACGGCCCAAGCGGCGGCCAATACGGCCCAAGAGGGCCCCAAGACGGCCCCAAGAGCGCCCAAGAGGCGCCCAAGAGCGGCCCAAGAGAGCCCCAAGAGGCTCCAAGACCGCCCCAAGACGGCTCCAAGTGGCCGCGGAACCTCCCAAGGACGCCCCCGACAGGCCAAGACGGCCCAAGAGGCCCCCAAAACGCTCCAAGAGCGCCCCGAGAAGCGCCATAAGAGGGCCCCTCGATGCCAAAATCATATGTTTTCCTTGAGTATTTCAAACATGTTAGCGTTCCCGCCCTTTCGGCTTACCGACGCTCCAAGACAGCCCCAAAGGCCCGCAAGACCGCCCCAAGACGGCCCAAGAGGCTCCCAAGACGGCTCCAAGACGGCCCAAGAGGGTCCCAAGACGGCCCAAGAGGCGGCCAATACTGCCCAAGAGGGCCCCAAGACGGCCCCAAGAGCGCCCAACAGGCGCCCAAGAGCGGCCCAAGAGGGCTCCAAGAGGCGATATTTCGGCCCCCGACGGGGGTACACCAATACATGCTCTCTCCTTCTTTACCCGATGGCCTCCAAGATGGCCCCAAGAGGGAGCCCCGAGAGGGTTTCAAGACTCCTAAAGGAGCCCCAAGAGAGCCCCAAGAGAGCCCCAGGGCCACGATTCCCTGAGATCCCAAGAGAGCCCCAAGATCGCACGGCAACGCCAGGAGGAGGAGGACGAAGAAAAGGAGCAACGAGGACGAGGAGAAGGAGAGGAGGATGGAAGAAAGAAGCCAAAGAGAGGGAGAAGGAAGAGAAAACACCCTACGGTCAGCGCACCTTTTTCGAGCGGCTGCTTTTGGATGGACTGGTGAGGACTTGCGAAGCGTAAACACTTTAGGTTGGGGTTGGTCAGGTTCACGTTTGGGAGGATGGCTTGGGCTGGGGCTCGGTGAGGCTCAAGGTAGGCTTAGGATCCAGGTCAGATGAGCCAGCGCGGAGGGAGGGGTAGGTAGATGAGATCAAGATGTCACGATCGAGGCGGGAGAAGGGGTGCATCGAATCAACTCACACAAATGGCGCTCCTGGCGCCGGGCGGCGCCGGGCGGCGCCGGGAAAGCGCAAGTGCGTCGAGGCAGGCGCCCGGAGGCGAGGCCGAAGCCAGCTGCGTGCAGCATCTATCTTGCCCCCCCCTGTCCATACCTAGTTACCCTCCCCCATCGTCCGAGCGGAACCTGCAAGGGACGGGGGAGGGTGACGATGACAACGAGGACGAGGGACAGCCATCGGCGGCGAGCCTGGGCGAAGTGGGAAGAGGCGGGCCTTCTCAGAAGGCTCGGCAGTCACCCCGGCCTTCTGAGAAGTTGGCGAAGCCTCCCCCGAGCACGCAGACAACTTCTGAGAAGGCGCGAGGGCTTCTGGAGGGGCCCCGCCGCCTGCTGAGCAGGCCTCCTCCTTCTCACCTTCCCCCCCTCGCTCGCCGCTGAGTCCTGGGGCCAGTGCCCAGACGTGCTCACACCTTCTCGTAGTCGAGCTTCCCCTGGCACGGGCAGTCGAGCCCTCTTCCCTGGAGGCCCCATGCCTTCGGCCTCCGTCCTCGAGGAGGTACTGACCCGTGATGCTCACGATGCCATTCTCTCGCCTCCATGCCCCCCGAACCCCCGCTTCTTCATACCCCTCCCCCTTTTCTGGCGGGCGACAAATGGTATGTTATAGAGCGTAGGCTCAACATCGTGTGTTATTGCACTGAGGAGGCGGCAACTGTGTGGTGTAAACTCTGAGGTGGAAGCTATGTCGGGCGAGCTCTGTGGTGTGAGTTATGGAGGTGGCAACTACGCGATGCAAGCTATGTAGTGTAAGCAATGCGGTGTGCACTGGATGTGAACGCTATGGGGTGTGAGCTGTGGCACGGAAGCTATGTAGTGAAAGCAAGGCGGTGTAAGATGCGTGGAGTAAGCTGACTGTGGTGATGTGTGTGAGTATACATATATATATATATATGTTGAAAGCTCTGTCGTGCAAGCTCAGGGCATGCAGCGCACACGAGGCGCCACACGAGGCGGCACGGGCGGCAGCGTGCCGAAAGCCAACATACCCCCAAAGCGCGAGGCATCTACGCGAGGCCAACGAGGCGGCACTGGCGGCAACGTGGCGAGAACCAAATCTACCCCCCCCCCCAGCGCGGGGCGCCCACGAGGCGGCACTTGCGGCAACGTGGCGACAACCCAACACTACCCCCCGAACGCCCAGGGCGCCCACGAGGCACCCATGAGGCGGCACGGGCGGTAATGAAGCGAATGCCCTACACACTCAATCAATGACTTAAGGAAAATTAATACGAACCCCTAAGGACAAGCGGTCTGCTGGGGTATAAAACAGCTGGAGAGTCCAACCGGCCCTCTGGGCAGAGGTTGTCCAGCGCGCTTCCTCTTCCAACCCCCTTCTTCTCCTTCGGGGAAGAAGATACCACTGCTCCTGCTTGACAAACACCCCCTCCCCGATCCCGGCGACTAAGCACCCCCTACTATCCCTGCCAACAGCAAGAAACACTGCACTTGCAGCAAAGCATGTTCGGGCGCTCTACGATCACATTGCATGGGTTTGACAAGTAGGTGTTGCCAAAAACATCCGCCACCGTGCCTCTGGGCACGGAGTGGGCGTGTCCTCAGGTCCTTTGCCTAAACCCTGGGGCCTCAGTCCTCAGTCCTGAGGAGTATGTATGGGGACCGGACCCTGAATTCCGAACTCTCTTTCGGCTTGCCGCGAGCTTTCTGGGGTTCCCGGCATATTGTTGCACGACTTGTTTCGGCCCTAAGAGGGCCCGAGGACGGTCCAGGAGGGCCCCGAGTCGCCGAAAGATCGATCCAAGACGGCCAAGATGGCCCCAAGATGGCCCAAGAGGCCTCCAAGACGCGTCAAGAAGCCTCCAAGAGGCCTCCCAAGAAGACCCCAAGAGGCAAACAGCAGTAAGATTCCTTAGGTTGTTGGAGGATGTTGCCGTTTTCGCCTTCTCTCGGCTTCCGACACTCCAACAAGGTCCAAGAGGCCCCCAAAACCACCCCAAAGCCCAAGAGGCGCCCAAGACGGCCCCTGAGGGCCCCAAGACGGCCCCCAATGGGGCCCAAGAGAGGGAACACTAAATGGAAATCCGAGCCTTCTGCCCAAAGAGGCCCCCCTGATCCCCCAAGAGGTACCCAGGAGGCCCTCAGAGGCCCACCAAGAAGCCCCCAAGAGGCCCCCAAGATGCACCCACGAGGCCCAAGAGAAACCCAAAGAGGCTCCCAAACGGCCGTCCAGGGGCTTCCAAATAGCCTGCAAGAGGCCCCAGAGAGCCTCACACGAAATGCCAACGAACAACCCGTAGGCTCCAGACCCACAACACAGGCACGGTGGCGAGATGGGCCGGAGGCCACTACATAATTCACAATGCGCGGGCGCCGCCCCCTGTCGATTCATCGCAGGGGTGCCTGGCGTGCCAGACCCTATCGGTTTTCGTTTTTTCTTTTTATATATATATATATATATATATATATATAATCCCCCTGGCGCTTCGGCCCGTCCCGCCGGGGTCCCGGGAGGCTCTTCCAGGACCGCAAAGTCCATCAACAATCCTCCCTGAAACGGCCGTTTCGCTCGGGAGATCCTCAACAAATCGCGAAGATGGCCCAAGATGGCCTCCAAGTCCGCCCAAGATGGTCCAAGACGGCCTCCAAGACGGCCCAAGAGAGTCCAAGACGGCCCAAGACGGCCCAAGAGGCTCCCCAGAGGCCCCCCAGACGGCCCAAGAGGCCTCCAAGAGGTCCTCCAGGAGGGCCCGAAAAGGCCGAAATCATTAATTTTTTAGGTTTTTGAAAGAATTGGGAATTTGCTTCTTCTCGGCATTCCGACTGCTCAAGACGGCCCAAGAGGCACCCAAGATCGCCCAAGAGGCCCCCAAGAGGGCCCCATGACGGCCCACGTGGCCTCCAAGACGGCCCCAAGAGGGCCCAAGAGACCTCCAACACGCCCAAGATGGCCTCCAAGACGCCCAAGATGGCCTCCAAGACGGCCCCGAAGCGCCCCAAGAGGGCCCCCAGTCGGCCCAGAAAGGCCTCCCATCTTTTCGAAAGATTGTGACATTTCATTCTTTTCGGCCTTCCGACGGCCCGAGACGGCCTCAGAGCCCCCAAAGATCGCCGAAAGATCGCCCAAGAGGCCTCCAAGATGGCCCCAGAACGGCCCAAGAGGGCCCCAAGACGGCCCCAAGAGGCCTCCAAGACGGCACAGGAGGCCTTTAAGACGCCCAAGATGGCCTCCAAGACGGCCCTGGAGCAGTCCAAGAGGGCCCCAAGTCGGCCCAGAGAGGCCCCCCAAACTGCTTCCGACGGCGTCAGACGGACCAGGAGCCCACCAAGACGGCCGAACATGGCCCTAAGATAGCCCAAGACGGCCCAAGGGGCCTCCAAGAGGGCCCCCAGGAAGGCCCGAAAAGGCCACAATCATTGATTTCCCATGTTTTTTTTAAGGATTGTGGCAGTTGCTTTGTTTCTGCCTTCCTACGGCCCGAGACGACCCCAGTGCCCCCCAAAGATCGCTCAAAAGACCCAAGACACGGCCCCAAGAGGCCCCCAAGACGGCCCAAGAGGTCTCCAAGACGCTCAAGATGGCCTCCAAGACGGCCCAAGAGCCCTCCAAGACGTCCTCCAAAAAGGCCCGAAAGGGTCAAAATGGCCTCCAGACGGCCAAGATGACCTTCAAGATGCCCACGTGTTCCCCGAAGGCTTTCCAAACCGATCCGGGGAACACATGGTCCGATAGCTTGGCAGGTCTGGCCTCAACGTTCGGCCACATAGGCGCTTGAAGAAAGTCAGGGGGCGGCGGTGATTCGCCGTAGGCGTCTTCGATCATTCACAATGCGCGGGCGCTCCACCACAAAACGGCCCACACCATGTACGCTCCCATGAGGCTCCCAGGTGTTAACGTCATGGGCCTGCTGAGGCTGATCCGAACCTTCGGTTTAACAGTTGCCCCCTCGTTGGTGCACTACTTGCTCCTACACTTCCCTCAACCAACGCAACTCGCCTGGGCATCGCTTCTACACGGATTAATGGGGATTTGCAAGGCGGCTAGAATTTGTACACCTACAGCGGCACGCGGTGGTAGAACTTCCCCGCCGTCCAAAGACAGACGCTTCCGCCAGCAAAACCGCTGACCTTGCACCATATCCCGTCTGTGAACCTCCTTCTGGTTCCATCTTCAGTCCTCCTCCCCCTTCACCTCCTTCCGCCTCTCTATCATCGTCCTCCCCCTTCTCTCAGGAGGGCGGAGGAGAAACCCAAAAAAGGAGGAGGAGGAAGAGGCGGGAGAAAGGGGAAAAGTAAAGGGGGGAAACGAACCTCTGAGCGACACCCTGCGACTGCATTGGAACTATACCACTACCTCCCCATGTAGAGGACCAAGAATCGGCATAAACATATGATACCATAGAAACAAACCCAATCAGGTTTTTGTTGGGGCTGTGGGGCTATAGGACTACAGGGCTATAGGGCTTTGGGGCTATTGGGCTATATGGCTATGGGGGTATAGTGCTATAGGGCTATTGTCTATAGGGGCTATAGGACTAAAGGTTTATAGGGCTATAGGGCTATTTGGCTATAAGGCCATATGGAGGCTATTGGGCTATTGGGCTATAGAGCTATAAGGCTAAAGGGCTACATGGCTATAAAATACCCGTGCACCCCTGGGCACCTCGGGGCACCCCCGAGCACCCTGGCACCCACGGGCACCCGGGCACCAGGGCACACGGGCACCCGGCCACCGGCCACCGAAATCCTGGGGCACCGGGCACCCCCGGGCACCCCCGGGCACCCGGCCGCCAGCTACCACATCGGCGCCGCACCTCACCTAACCACATGAATCCGCTAGGACCCCTACAGAGGCGAGCTCTGATTGGGGAAGATTGTCGAAATCCAGTGCGATTTGTTGGGATCAGCGCTGGACCCCCCACCCTGGCGCTCGGAGCGGAACACGGGCGGCGCCGATCCAAGAAATCCGCACGGAGCTCGAAAGTCGATTATTATGCCGTCGTTTCGTCTCCGAGCGGTGCTGGGCCCCTCCTGCTCCCTCTTTCCCTCCTCCTCCTCCCTTCCTCCCTCCCTCCCTCCTTCGGGCCCAGCGCCGACCCATGGGACATCGACACCATATCCATGCCCGTGCCCACGCCAGAACTCTACAAGGGGGCGGAGCCGGGGCATGGACAAGCATCCATGCCCCTAGAGGCAGAATGCTCTAACCCTGCCCTGCCACCCTTGGCAGCCAGAGCGGGGACAGCAGTACAGGTGTGTATCGAATGTCGATCCCCGAATCCTGAAGATCTGCGCGAAGCTCCGAAGAAAGCACATGTTCATGCCAAGTTGTATAATTCGTCTCTGTGCCGAGAGGTCCCTCCCCTCCCTCCCTCCCTCCCTCCTCCTGCTCCCCCTCCTTCCCTCCCTCCCTCCTCATGCTCCCTCTCCTCTCTCCTGCCTCGTGCTCACCCTCCCTCCCTGGCCACTCGGGGAGAGCACGGGCAGCGAGATCACCCTGGAGGAAAACTATCCTGGCGAAGGACCCAACCAGATGCAGTTGTGGGTACTGCAAGTGTGAGCATCTCCTGCGGTGGCGATCCCTTTGCGGCCACGAACCGCATGAGGGGTGCGCCGAATTGCATGGCGGGGTGCACAACACAAACGAAGAAGATATGTCGAACTACAAGAGACTGAGCACGGGCGAGTCTGAGTGCGAATGCGTCTGAGGTTGAATAACTATGCGTGCGAATGACGATATCTGCATGGATGCGAACACGGCGAGCGGTGTGGTGGCACTGGGGCCTTCGGTGGAACTCCCTATGGTGTGAGGGGTGTGCCGAACTGTGTGGTGGGGGACGCATGCGGACAGTGGCACTGGGGCCTTCGGTGGAAGTCCCTATGGGGCCACGAAACGTGTGAGGGGTGTGCCAAAGTGGGTGTGGGGGACGCATGCGGGCGGTGGCACTGGGGGCTTCGGTGGAGCTCCCTATGGGGCCACGAAGCGTGTGAGGGGTGTGCCGAAACGGGTGTGGGGGACGCATGCGGGCGGTGGCACTTCCCTGTGGGGACACGAAACGTGTGAGGGGTGTGCCGAAGTGGGTGTGGGGGACGCATGCGGGCGGTGGCACTGGGGGCGTCGGTGGAGCTCACTATGCCGCGAAACATGTGAGAGGGTGTGCCGAAACGGGTGTGGGGGACGCATGCGGGCGGTGGCACTGGGGCCGTCGGTGGAGCTCCCTATGGTGCCACGAAACGTGTGAGGGGTGTGCCGAAACGGGTGTGGGGACGCATGCGGGCGGTGGCACTGGGATTTCGGTGGGGCTCCCTGTGGGGCCAGAAGCGTGTGAGGGGTGTGCCGAACTGTGTGTGGGGGGGGACGCAATGCGGGCGGTGGCACTGGGGCCTTCGGTGGAACTCCCTATGGGGCCACGAAACGTGTGAGGGGTGTGCCGAAATGGGTGTGGGGGACGCATGCGGGCGGTGGCACTGGGGGCTTCGGTGGAGCTCCCCATGGGGCCACGAAACGTGTGAGGGGTGTGCCGAAATGGGTGTGGGGGACGCAAGCGGGCGGTGGCACTGGGGCCTTCGGTGGAACTCCCTGTGGCCCACGAGACGTGTGAGGGGTGTGCCGAGGGACGCATGCGGGCGGTGGCGCTGGGTCCTTCGGTGGGGTTACCTATAGGGCCACGAAATTTGTGACGGGTGTCCCGAAGTGGGTGTGGGGGATGCATGCGGGCGGTGGCGCTGGGGCCTTCGGTGGAGCTCCCTGTGGGGCCACGAAGCGTGTGAGGGGTGTGCCGAAGTGGGTGTGTGGGACCTATGCGGGCGGTGGCACTGGGGCCTTCGGTGGAGCTCCCTATGGGGCCACGAAACGTGTGAGGGGTGTGCCGACATGGGTGATGATGCTGGTGATGCTAACGGTAGTTATGATGATGATGACGACGATGAGGGTGATGATGATGACGATGATGATGATGCTGCTACTGATGATGATGATGATGGTGATGACGCTGACGGTGATGGTGATGATGATGATGACGATGATGATGATGTGTGGGGTTTCTTCTTTCTGGGCGTCGCGCCGCCGCAGGTTCAAACTGCAAGAGGCTCAAGCACACTCAAGGAGAAACGGCCACCGGGACCTGGCAGGGGCCCATACACGGCGAGCACCAGCACCCTCCAGCAGGTCAGCGAGCAAGCCAGCGAGCTCGGCTCGCCGGCCGCACTGACCCGTAGAGGGTAAGGCAGCCCGCCGAGTAAAATTGGCCCCGCAAACACCAGGAAACACAGTTGAACGTGTTAATCCCCTGGGGCCACCCCTCGAGAGCCTGACCTAAAAGGCGGCAGAATTGGGGATGGACGGAGGGCCGCTTGAGCCGTACACCTACGGAACGATCGAGCGAAGGAGTGCTCACCCTGAGCTCTCTCGAGGCCCGTCGGGCGAACACTATATCACCTGCTCGCTCGACGGCGGCGCTTTGCCTAAGAGGTCCAAACATACGCCCAACCCCGAGGGTGTTATGTTACATGTTTGGGGCTTCCTCTTTTTGGGCGTCGCGCCGCCACAGGTTCAAAGTGCAAGGGGCTCAAGCACACTCGAGGAGAAACGGCCACCGGGACCTGGCAGGGGCCCATACACGGCGAGCACCAGCACCCTCCAGCAGGTCAGCGAGCAAGCCAGCGAGCTCGGCTCGCCGGCCGCACTGACCCCTAGAGGGTAAGGCAGCCCGCCGAGTACAATTGGCCCCGCAAACACCAGGAAACACAGTTGAACGTGTTAATCCCCTGGGGCCACCCCTCGAGAGCCTTCCGCGTCCCCCTATTGTGGCTCTGCCGACCTATTTTAAACTGATGTCATCAGGCATGGACTACTGGATTGACTTGACCATTCAAGTCTTACAACTTCAGCTGTCTTAAAATATCTTTCCAGCGGAGAGCGGCCGCTCGAATTCTATATTTGGTGCTGGACAGAAGGGTGAGAGCGACGGTGTCAGCAACTGCCTGAGACGAATACATTTTGGCTACTTTTGTGCCGCCCCACCGGCCTTGTTGAAGAGTATACTCCATATTTCTATGGCGGGTGAAGTGGGCGGTCGCACCTCCTCTGCGGAGGCTATGCATTGTGAGCCCTCGGTCCTGAAGGTCGAACATCTGAAGCAACCAAGACAACTTCCTCCGAACTTCAGGCGCCGTCGCTCCACACAGCAGATCTTCCGACCCCAGCTGCAAGCATCTGTATTTTTGGATATTTCGAGACACTCCGTCTTTGAGAGAAACCACTTCTGAAAAGCCAGTTCGCAGTCCCATCTTCGAGGCCTCGATGTGAATAACTGCCCGCTCACCTTTGACAAGGATGTGCCGCCGTCTGAGAGCCAGCAGCTCGCCTGTGCGCATGAACGCGTCGAAACCGACGAGGATCACGGCCGCCAGACCTTCCCAGCCGAGGTCCCACGCTGCAGCTGCCAAGGCTAAGGCTACGTCGGCCGTGAACGGTGTCGCCCGACTGGGCGTGCACTGTCTCTCCCACGCTCGCACCAGGCTCCAACTCTGCTGCAGGTTGCCCTTCAGGGAGGGCATCATCCACTGCAAAGCCGCTGTCGCATTGACCACCGGGTAAAGCGGCTCCAGCTCTGCCCAGCACGCTTCCATGTACAAGCTGAGGCTTTTGTCCACGTCGTTGAGCGAGGACAGCTTCACACTGTGCGCCCTCCACCACACAAAAAGGCGACCGGCACATCGAACGTGCCGATCACGCGTGGCTTTAGTGACCTGTAGGTCACGCAGCCGCGTGCCTCGCTTACTGAATTGAGAACGCACGCGCAACCAACTGCGACGCCTGCCGCCGCGAGCTGTCACTTGGACTCTTTCCGGCGCCATTTCTTAATCAAGAACTCCCTGGACGGCCGATCACTTGGGTTGAGCTTGGTATTGATATACCCAACGCCCACATGCAAGTCTGAACTGACGAGTATAGCAACGTACTGTCGAGCGAGTCCTCGAAGCTTCCCCGATGACGTGCGGCCGCGGGTCAGTATCGAAGCCACAACTTGGGAATCGACAAGGTGCAGAACCTTCACGCTCCTGAACGAAGTAGTGCGAGTCCTGTGCCGCAAGGAAGCGTTCACCGCCTTCAACTCGAGCGCGTTGATATGCAGCTCCCTCGACGACTTCGGCCACGGAAAGGACAGCGTCGGCCGCCGGCGCCACAGCGCCGGGTCGATCGAGGATCGCGGCCACGCCTTGGGGCGGAAAGGCACACCGATGTCGAGGCGGATGTCACCCCCCGGCTTCTCGGCAATCGTCCAGAAAATCTCGACCAGCTTGCGGCCGATGGAGGTATCCTTGATGGGGTCCCTCGAGAACTCCACCGACTCGTCGAGCAAGTCCTTTACCTCCAACTCGCTCGCGACCCCCTCGAGGTCAGTCGCCCTGACGGGCCAGCCCAACTGGCACTTCAGACCGAGGAACAGCCAGCTAACGACGCAGCAGGCGAACGCTTTCCCCAAGAGGCTGCAGCGATCTTTCTCAACGCTGCCACGGCTGGAGCCCGAGCTGGCTACGCACGACGAGTAGTGGCGAGGGAACCCCATGAGCACCTCCTTCTCCGTGGCACACAAGGGCCTCAAGTCCCCCTTGGGGTCCCGAATCATGTAAACTAGCTCGTACTGGTACGGAGGGTACGCGTGCAGGTCCTGGGTCCACCTCTGGATGGCCTCTGGGCTCGCTGTCGATAAACCTGCAGGCTTGCACGGGACAGTCTTCTCACGCCGCTGGAGAAACGTGCAGACTGGGCCCTTGTCCGAGGCCCTGGAGCACCCTGCGGCAACCCAAGAGCCAGCAGGAGCCTTCGGGACCTGGAGCGCCCCGATGAGGTCGTAGTTGGCCTTGGGCTCCACGTGCGCCCCGGGGAACTTGAGGACCGCCTCTCTCCAAGACAACCAGTACAAACGTGGCCTTCTATTCTCGGTAAAGAGGGAGTTGCACACGCTGATGGGCCTAGTCTGGAGGATGCGGGAGAACTCCTGGAGGGATTCTGCGCTCATTGAGAGTACATTTTCCACGAGCCAATGGACAGGAACCTCCATGACGAGAGCCAGTGCGCTCACCACCTTGGGTATGCGCTTGAACAGGCCGCTCTTAGCGCCATGTGCGCCCTGTCGGTCGGCGTTCACACCGCTCGTGTCCTGGCAAGGGCTGCCTCCCGCAACGACCACGGCGAGAATCCGATCCTGGAACATTGCCAGAGCCTCAAGCTGTCGGTCGCGAATTTCCCCGACTGGGCCCAGCTCAATCAGGCCAGGCCAGCGCGATCTCAGCACCCGGCGAGCCCCGTTATCGACCTCGCTGCTCATGTAGCCTACGATGTCGAAACCAGCGCGCACCAGCGCCACAGCAGCGCCGCCGATGCCGTCAACCAAGCTCACCAACATGACGCGCGGCGGAGCTCCTGGGGCGATCCTGGTCGGCTCGATCGTGCACGAGCCGGTGTAGCTGGCAATGCGATGGCCCCAGGTCTCAGGGCTCCCGAGAGATGCCAGGAACTTCGCGGCCCCCTCTGCGAGCCCCACGGCCGTGCACATACCAGCACCGTCCTCGCTGGCGTCAGAGCAGGAGACGATGCTCGTGGTAGCGGCCCTCAGGTTGGTGGAGGCGAGGGGCATCAGCAGGCAGCTGCGCATCAGCTCGTCCAGGCTGGCCCTGGTCAACACAGTACGGCCCGAGCCAATCTGCTCCCACACCGAGTTGAACACCCCGAAGAGAGGACGTCGAAACTCTAGCGCCCTCACCCAACGTCCCATGAGAATGAGGAGCTGGTTCCCGAGGGGGTTCTCTCTTGTCAGGAGCCACATGGTAAGGCTATACAGCTGCACGTTATTTTGCCGATTGTTGGCGGCCCTGCCTGAGATCCCGCCCACCTCTACACCCATCCGCGTGACCAAGAGCTGCCTCTGGTTGGCTTTGTCCACGCTGATGGGGATTGCATTCCGCTGGTAGCTCTCCCTCATCAGGGCCTGCAGGCGGCCAGGAGTGCCCACCTTCGCGAGCGCCTCCTTGCGCCCAACCGTCTCGCAGTTATCGAAGCCGTCGATGTACACACTCCACCACTCGCGAGGGCCCTCATGAGACAGGGGGGCAGCTGCAGCGGCGGGGATAGGACGGTCGCGCCGCTACTCCAGGTCAGCTGGGAGGGCGGCGCCAGCAGGGCGACCCAGAAGCGCAACCCGCCGGTGGACGCTCTGGAAAATGGGGGCGCTGTACACCCAGCCCATGGCCAGCACTGTCATGGCCAGCCACACCTCCTTGGCCTTCATGCCAAGAACATGGCCGGGGACTGGGGTGCAGATCGCCATGTAGCCCAGCCACGGCGCAGGGATGCGGCACATGAAGAAAGCTCCCTTCTGGTCGTCCCCACTCCAGAGCAGCACCTCCTCGGGGCCAAGGGAGATGCTTACCCGCGCCGGCGAGGGTACCAGAGTCACTGAGTCCCCTGCCAACGGTCGAAGGTACGTATTCGTCGGGGCCATGTTGAAAATCAAAGATGTCACTCTGGCCTCTCCCTCAGCTGGGGACCCCGACTTTGTCACAGCAAACAACCCATTTGTGACGCGACGGCCAGGGGCCACAAAGATGCGCTCAGCTGGTCTTGGGGCCAGCAGTCCACGCTCCACCAGCTTGGCAGCGATGGCCCACCAGTCCTCCAGCTTCTCGACGTTGACCTTTGCCTTCGGAGGCGACTCGGGACACTCGGCCTCCGGCAAGAGCGACATCTCGGGTTTGGTGGGCACCTCCTTGAGCTCTGGCCCCACATAGTCCAGCGCGCCCAAGCGGCCGATATCTTCGGCTTTGGGAAGGCCGGGCTCAAGCTCGCCGAACTTCAAGGGGGGCGCCCGACAGTCCTCCTTCAGATCGTAGCTCGACTTCGTCATCATCATCTCCTGAGGCCAGAACGGGATGCCCACCGCCGCCAACGCGTCGCCCACGTGCCACTCGACAGTCTCACCGATCACACGTAGGCTGGCGGCCTGCACCTCAGAAAGGCGCCCGGCTGCTTCCCAGCGGTCCTTGCTCAGGTGCCCAAGGTAAAAGTAGTTCAGGCCCAGCACGCTCAGGAAAGTCCACACCTCGACCGCCATGGCTTGGGCCTCCTTCTTGAGAGCAGCTGGCCACTTCGCAACATCCACGGGGGGGCCCTCACCGTCCAAAATTCCTCTTCTCTTCAGATCACGTTCCCGGACGAAAGAGGTTGCCGGCTCCCTTACTGGCAGGGGCAGCACATCACGCCCGACACCAGCCTCCGGCGATTGTGGCGCGACGCCCACAGGGAACCTTCTAGCGAAATCTCCAATGCAACTTGGTATTCTCCTGACACTTGTGAGGATCCCGAAACCGATCTCCAGCATTGTCATTTGGCTTGGGCCGCTGCGGCACATGCGCGAAGCGATGTCCGCCTTCCACTGGCCCAACGTCAGCGCGGCCACCTCGCTGCCGATAGCCGCGTCACTCATCGCGCTCAATGCTTCAGCACGACCCGCCTCTGCGGCTCGCTCGGCTTCGCCGCGTTCTTGGCCGACGCCCGGCGCTTGAAGAACTGCGACGCAATCCTGTTCTTCAACTGCCGCCTGGACTCCCCCTCGGCACGCGGAGTCTTCGCGCGCGCCGCCGCCCACGCTGACAGGGGCTTCCCGTCCACCGCCTGGGGGGCCGGGCGGTCTGTCAGCGCGGGCAAGCCGCCCCCCGACGGGGGATCGGCGCGGCCCGCCTCCAGGGCAGGAGCACGATCCCTGGGCGGCTGCACTCCCGAGCGGCTGCGCAACTCTGCGGCGTCCGAGGCAATGCCGATGTGGGTGATCGGCAACGCTCTGCTGTCCGGGCTTCCACCACGGCTCGGGCCTGCAGGGCGGTCGGCCAATCTCTCGCCGCCGCCCCGGCCAGACCCCTAGCCGCGGCCCCCGAGGCGCCCGAGCAGCTGGGCCACGCGCACCTCGGCGGCCTCGATGCCCGCGACGAGCTCCTCGTCCTCAACTGAGAGGCTCAATCCGCCATTGTCGGGGGGGGATGAGCTCGATGCACTTCGCCGTCCTCGAATGGCCATCCCGCATGGTCTTCTGGATAGCCCTGATCCTGCAGAAGATGAAGTCCAGGGCGTGAATGGGCTTGCCTGAGACTATGAGGTCCGCACTCTCCGCGAGCGTCCGCAGCTCAATCTCACGAATGGGGTGCGCGGGCTTCAGCACCCGGAGCAAGAACTTGAGCGCCACGGGGCTATGCTTGTTCACACCTCCAGCATCATCATGGTCCAGAAACTGCGCATGTTCTCCATCTCCCTCTCCGAGAGGCGCCCTGGATGCTTCTCCGCTATCTTCTTGTACGCGAGGCGGCGGGCCGCCACAGGGCGCCCGCCAGGGGCGCGATCATCATCACTGTCAAACAGGCCGTCGTCGTCGTCGCCCTTCTGACTCAGGTACTCGGCGAGCGTCTTCAGCACTGCCCGCTCGCCTGAGCCGCGAGCACGACTGCCATCTGCTGGACCAGCAGCGGCAGCACTCGGCGCCTGTCCAGTCATCCTCGCCTGGACCACCTCGCCGAGCTTGGCCTTCTTGGTGGGTGCGGCGGCCGTGGCCCCGCCCGCAGCGGCCTCCGGGCCGCGCACTGTCGCGAGCTTCTCCCGCAACTTGTTGAGGCGCTCCAGGTAGCCGTCCTTCGCCGAGCTCTTCGTGCCCTCGGACTTGCCTGAGAGCGCTGCGAGCTCCCTGTCGAGCTCAGCGAAGGCGTCCGCGTCCGCCTCGTCGGCCTCCTCGTCGCCGTCGAGCTCCACCAGGTCGCCCCCAGCCTTGCCTGCGCCGGCGGGGCGCTTCCTGGCCGGGCCAGCGAAAGCGGCGCGACTCGGCGGCGGCTCCTCGTCCTCCTCAGCGGCCTCAGCCTCATCTAAGGCGGCCTGAGCGACATCAGCCGGCAGCTCGGGGCAATCCTCCTCGTGCTGGAGCACTGCCATGTGCCGCTCGGCTGCCTGAGCGGCCGTGGGCCTCTGGGGCGCTCTGGGGAGCTCTGGGGCACCCCGCCCGCGGTGCCGTGTAGCGACATCGCGAGACTGGCCCACGGCACACGTGTAAGATCATCTTCTCTCGCTTCGCAATCCGTGAGTTAAGCCACCATGACAGGTATTGGTCTCCAGCAGCAAAGTATTCCACTTCGTAGGCGGTGCCCCCTGGGTTGTCCGACATCACTCTGCGCACCACGCCAACCACAGAGCCCGCGTCGGACCCGTCATCATGCAAGACGGGATGTCGGAAGCACTCGCCCGGCATCAGCACTGTCGGGCGGTCGTCCGCCATCAGCACCTGATCGGACGAGCACCAGTCGAGGTCAGGGGGCGCGGAAAGGTTTACGGTCAGAGTGCCTGAAGCGCTCGAGCCCCAGACCGCAGGACCTGACCTGCGGCGCAGCCGCTTGAGCCGTACACCTACGGAACGATCGAGCGAAGGAGTGTTCACCCTGAGCTCTCTCGAGGCCCGTCGGGCGAACACTATATCACCTGCTCGCTCGACGGCGGCGCTTTGCCTAAGAGGTCCAAACATACGCCGAACCCCGAGGGTGTTATGTTACATGACGGGAGGACAGAGGAAGGGGGAGGAGGAGAAGGAGGAGGAGGAGGAGACGAGGAGAGGAACGCGGGGCGGCGTCTCTTCAAAACGAGGACCCAACACCACAGGATGGTTGGGAAAACTCAACTCCTCCTCCTCCTTCTCCTCCTCCTCTTCTATTTCGAACTAATATTACTATCATTACTTTTACCAATTTCATGTATATTATTAGGATACGTAGTCGCTCTATTATTTACCTTTTCTTATCATCATTCGTATTATTATGTTCGTTCTTCGGATTCCGTATCTGTCATTGTTATTTTTCGTATTCCTCTTCTTGCTCCTCCTCCTCCTCTTCGAACGCCCGAGCTGGGCGCAGAAAAAAATGGTTAGGCTACTCAACACGAAAGCTTGTCCAACATCGACAGCGGCCGCTCCTGGACATTGGAGCTTGTGGCCCAAATGGGCACCGACCACGGCCACGCCGAAAGCGCTTCCTGTTCACCCATTTTTCCCGTAATCTGAGCGGCCTCCCGATCCTCCTCCTCCTCCTCGTCCTCCTCCTCCTCCTCCACCTGCCCCCCTCCCCTCAAAGCAATGTCTAGGCAGTCCGCCTGCTCGAAGCGAAGCTTGGCCGAGACTGCGCAACGGCCTCCACCCTGATCACAGACGGCTCCGTGCCACTGCCCACCTCGAGACGATCTGCCCCCCTTCAGAGGCTCTGCGGCTGGGCACGCCCCCCCCCCCTCGGGAGCGGCAAAGAGGGGGGGGTCCAAGAGGGGGGGGTGCAAATCATGACCGGCGGCATGTGCGCGGCCCAGCGGGGGGGCCAGGAACGTAATGAAAGAAGAAGAGGCGCCATGAGATCTGGGGCAATCTCATGGCCCCCGCCATGATATCCACCCCCCCCTAGTCATCACCTCCCTCTCTTTTCCGCCCCCGACGAAAGATCCGCGCGAAGCCCCCGAAGCCCCCGCCGGGGCGCCGACGCCCGGGCGCTCGCGGGGCTCGGCGGTCCCCGCCGCCCGCGCCGGCGGCACGCACGTGGCTCGGGCCCCGCCGATCGGCAGGTCACGATGCTCCAGTCCTTGCCCCTGTAAGGGGCTCCTGCCTCGTGGACGCCCGACATGGGTACGGAGAGAAACGGGTACGACGCCCAGCAGCAGATGTTGCCCGAAGCCGACTGCGGCCGCTGTTGGGCAGGCGCCTTCTGTCTCACGATGCCCACGAGGCCATGGACAGCGAATCCTATCCAGAATGAACAGGAAATGCTGTCGATAATTGTGCCCGTTCTTTCCTTACCCATTCCGATCGCCTCGACCCCTATCGCACCCCGGGGCCAGTCGAAGGGCGGGCTGGGCGTTTCGCCTGAGACCGCCTCCCCATTTAGGATCCTGAACCTTACAAATTGTCAACAGTTTCACACATGGCTGGCGGCCCGCTTCCAAAATGTGGCTCTCGCCTCAGCGCGGCGATTTTTGTTAAGCAACGAATCTCGAGAATTGAAGGCGGGCCGCTTCGTAAATGTGGCTCTCGGCTTAGCGCTGCGCACAATCGTCTGAAACTCTTGCAAGGGTTTCGCGAATGGAGGTCGATTCGCTGTCAAAATGTGGCCCTCACCTTAGCACCGCGCACAGTCGATTCTAAAGCTGCCAGAGCTTCGCGAATTACAGCGCGCCGTTTTCAAAATGTTGCTCTTGCCTTAGCGCGAGGCACGTTCGACTAAACTCTGTAGAGACCTTGCGAATTGAGGGCGAATTCTTTTCAACATGTGGCTTTCGCATTGGCGCCGCGCACACTCGTCTGAAGAAGTTGCAAGCGCTTCATGGGTTCCCGTGGTAAACGTGCCAGGAATGACATTGTCGAAAGATTCAGTCAGGACTGTCAAGGCGCAAGAGCTACGTTGATTGTGCTGATTCGCTGTGTGTTGACCCGGGGTCAGCAAGACACAACCATTAAATTGATGTGTGGCATTGTAGTCCCGAGAATGGTCGTTTGGCACGCTCCAAGATCTTCCGACGTTCATGTAAAAAACGGGGGACGTCCCTGAGTGGAAATGAACCATTGTAGGGACCTGTGAAGGGGGAGCTTGGAGGGAATTTTGTTACAGCATGTTTGATGAATCATGGGTTTACATTGGACCTCCTCCTCCTCCAACACCTCCTCATCGATCCTCCTCGCTCCTCCTCACCCTCCTCCTCCTCCTCCTCCTCGTCCTACTCCTCGCTCCTCGACCTCCTCGCCCCTCCTCCTCGCTCTTCCTCCTCCTCCGACTCCCTGCACCTTGCTCCACCTCCCCCTCCTCCTCCTTCTCCTCCTCCTCCTCCTGGTCCTGTTCCCTTCCTCCTTCTCCCCCTCATCCGTATGCCTCCCCGTCCCGTCCCCCTCCTGCTCCTCCTCATCCTCCTCCTACCCTCCTCCTCTTCCTCCTCCTCCTCCTCCTCCTGCTCCTCCTCCTCCTCCTCCTCCTTTCCCTTCATCCTCCCTCTCCTCATTTGCCCCTCCTGCGTTTCCCCTCCTCCTAATCCACCTCCTTAGCTTCTTCCTCCTGATCATTCCCCTTTTCGCCTTCCTCCTCCTCACCCTATCCCTCCGCAAGCCCAACGCGGCAACAGGTCCTACGCACACGGGAAAAAGTCGTCCGAGGATCCACCTCCCCGCGATGCGAGCCTGCACGGTGCTTGATTCGACGGATGCTGCAGTGGAGTGGGCTCGGCGGGAGCGTCGGAGAGAGGTCGGCGCACGAGCGATGCTTGATTTGGGCGTCGCGGGGCGCAGCGCGCCTCCGCTCCAGCACCGCGCCCCCCCTGTCGTGTCCCGACTCCTCATTCTCCTGCGGCTCCCTGCCTCCTCCTGCCTCGCTCCTCCGTGCTCTTCCTCCCCCATTTCTTATTACCCCAACTCCCCTCTCCTCCGTCTCCGTCTCCGTCTCCTCCTCCTCCTCTACCATCTGGGAGGTCTCCGCAAAGCCACACACAGAAGCCCCCAAACCGACACCCGTGAGGTCAACAAAAAACTGCATCCGAGGGCATCGATCCTCCCGTTGCCCCCATCCCTCCCCCTCCCCCTCGAACCTCGAACCACCGTGAGCGTCGCACCGCCGTGAACCCTCGAGCATCGAGCCTCCGTCTGCGGGGCCGCTCCCCAAGGCCCGCGCCTTCGTGAGTCGAGCAAGAAAACCCGACCCTGATCCCCGAGGCCCCCTCCCCCCTCCGCTTCACCCCCGATCAGGGACCACGAGCCTCCCTCACTCCCCCTCGAGGCTCCCCCCCCGATCATGATTCTCCGACTTCAAACCTGATCGTGATCCTCGAACCCCGCCCACCCTAACCTTCCCCCCCAAAACCTCCCCCTCCTTCCCTCCCTCCCCTCCCTCCTCGTGCTCCCGCGTGCGAGGGAGGCGGAGGAGGAGGAGGAGGAGGAGGAGGAGGAGGAGGAGAGGAAGGGGGAGGGGAGGAGGAGGAGGAGGAGGAGGAGGAGGAGGAGGAGGAGGAGGAGGAGGAGGAGGAGGGAGAGCAGGACGAGGAGAAGGAGGGGGGAGGAGGAGGAGGAGGAGAGGAGGAGGAGGAGAGGAGGAGGAGGAGGAGGAGGAGGAGAGGGAAGGCGGTACGAAAACAGAGGAGAGGTAGTAGCGGGAGCAGGAGAAGCCTTTCCCATCCTGTGCGGGCGGGACCTTCTCGGCCAGGGCCCAGCGTGAGGGAGGGAGGGGGCGGGGTGCGCCTCGAGCTTCTTGTTGTCAGAGATCTTCCTCGAGGCCTGCGCGGGGCGGCCAGCGGGAGGGGGAGGAGTAGGAAGGAGGAGAGAGGATGAGGAGCAGAGAGGAGCAGTAGAAGGAGGAGGACGCGGACGAGGACGAGGAGGCGGATGAGGACGCGACGACCTGGAAGCAGAACGTCATAACGTAATACGACGCCGACATGACCGCCGACGGAGGCCGCCCCCTGTCAACCCGCCTCGGACGAACCGGCAACTGGCCGCCAGGGAACACCGAAAAGTCAGCACGAACAACACCAAACTGGGAAGGAGAGGAACGGGGAGGAGGCGGCGGCGGAGGAGGAGGATAAGATGAACAGCGAGAACGGGGACAAGAGACGAGAGGAGGACTTGGACGGGGAAGGAAAGCGAATGTGAAAGAAGGCACGGGCGGAGAAGGAAAGGGAACAGGATGAGGCGCCGGGAGGGGATGGTATTAGAGGGAAGGGGAGGAAGACCAAAGAAGGCGAATGCCCAGCCAAGGGCGCGCTTGCACAGCAGCATTCCACTCCTCATCCTCCTCCTCCTCCGCCTCCTCCTCCTTCTCTTCCTCCTCATCCTCTCCCATCATCATCCTCCTCATCTTCATCCTCCTCCCTCACGCTGGACCCTGGCCTTGCGAGAAGGTCCCGCCCGCACAGGATGGGAAAGGCTTCTCCTGCTCCCGCTACTACCTCTCCTCTGTTTTCGTACCGCCTTCCCTCTCCTCCTCCTCCTCCTCCTCCTCCTCCTCCTCCTCCTCCTCCTCCTCCTCCTCCTCCTCCTCCTCCTCCTCCTCCCCCCCCTCCTCTCCTCGTCCTGCTCTCCCTCCTCCTCCTCCTCCTCCTCCTCCTCCTCCTTCCTCTCCCCCTCCTCCTCCTCCTCCTCCTCCTCCTCCTCCTCCTCCTCCTCCTCCTCCTCCTCCTCCTCCTCCTCCTCCTCCTCCTCCTCCTCCTCCTCCTCCTCCTCCTCTCCTCCTCCTCCTCCTCCTCCTCCTCCTCCTCCTCCTCCTCCTCCTCCTCCTCCTCCTCCTCCTCCTCCTCCTCCTCCTCCGCGTTGGATGTCTGGCCAACGGCCGAGGCGACCGCATCTGCGCGTCCCCAGGAGAACGCGGGACTGCGTTGTCGACGGCACCAGACGCGCGCTCGCGCATCGGGGATCGGCGCGGTGTTCTGGACGACGGCAACTGCGACGCACACGCCTACACCGATCCTGGGCAGACGCGTTCGACATCTTAGCCATGCCCCTGCACCACGTCCCGACCCCCCGAGGGGCCAGAGCGGCGGTATTGTCAGAACTCTGGCCTCCAGAGCCTCGTCTTTCTATCCATGCCCAGCTTCCCGTGGCGTCCAGAGTGGGTAGCAGCAGGGGTTTGGATCGAGAGGCAAGACTGGATCGGATCGGCGCTGAGTGTGGCTTGACGGCACCTGGATCTTCGGGGCCGGGTCCTGGACCAAAACAGTCCTCGCCTTGCTTCTGAACTGCTAAACATGCGTACCTGCCCGTCGTGTCCTTCCTATGCTCCGCCGTGAGGCCAGGGCTGGTATACATTAGTGTAGCACGTCGACGACCCGCATTACTTCGTTCGGTTGGGACAGAGTTGCAATGAAGAGCAGATGTAGCGCATCATGTCCCGAGGCATGATCGCGGACGAGTCAGGACCAGGGGACACATTGAAAGAAGAAGATGGGGCAACGCTGTGAGGCAGATTTCACACGCCTAGGTAGTCCTTGCCCCACTCGACGACGGACCCAATTCGTCACAGTGGCCGAAGACTTCGGCGTCGGCTGGCGGTGCCCTGATTACCAGGTCGGCTTGGACCTGATCTGGGCAGCGCGATTCTAGCTGCGGCGGGAGATGGCGGCGTGGATGAAGGCCAGAAGGGGGCTGGCGGTGGGCGCTGAGCTGGGCGGGGAACGCTGCCTGATCGGCAATGATTCGGTCTGCGCATAGACAGCCCCCTTGAGTGGTCCCGTCTGGCCTCAACAAACACTCGAATAGTCCGGGGTGGCCTCAACCTCCAGGGATCTTCTGACCCGGGTCAATCCAGACCAGGGTCAGCAAGAAACCAATAAACTTAAACGCAGGAACAAAAAAACTGCCACGCAGGTCTTCGCACACCCGATTTGCGCGGCCGCAGGCCACGAGCGTCTCGCTGACCTGGGTCAGCCAGAGGGGGTCTTCGCAAGATCCTGCAGCCCTGGCTGACCCCCGATTGCACTGACCCCCGTCTCGATTTGGACACCCGAAATGGGTACCGAAAGAATGGGTACAATGCCCAACAGCAAATGTTGTCCCGAACCAACGGCGGCCGCTGTTGGGCGGGCGGCCTCCTGTCTCGAATGGACACAGGCCGCGGCGGCGTGGACAGCGAGCCCTGTTCAAACTGAACAAGATCCGCTGTTGGGCATTGTACCCATTCTTTCAGTACCCATTTCGTGCGTGCAGATAGACTGCCCGGGGGGGGGCTGTCCTTGCGCAGCCGGGAGCCTTCACTGTGCCCACTGGCGCGTGATGTTGTGCCTGTCAGGCTCAATCCTTCCTGTTGTGGGCATATAAGTGAACGGCGGTGTGACTAATGCCCGCGAGGTCACCGAGAACAAGTAGCCGTTTGCCCGTCAGCGTCGCAAGGCGCCCGATATTTGTGACAAAATGCAACAATAGTTTCGCAATCGATTCTCAGCGTATGCCGCGGGCTTCGGCCCAGCCTACCGCATGAGTCAAAGAAGACGACGTGCACTTCCGGGGCGCGGAGCAGCCATTCATGGCATACACCCTGAGGATGCCCTCTGGGACGGGGCATAGATGGATGCGACGGCCATATTCAGCTGTGGTGCCAAAATCTTTGCCGTCACCATGCCCAGAAACTGGCTTGGTTCCAGCAGTTCGGAGCCGCCCGATATCGCGTAAGGCGGGCGAAATACGAGCGATGGGTGGGCGCTGTGGCCGCTCTCTGCGAAGGGCCGTCGACGAAGGAGACCAAGCAACAACTCGAAAATCCCTCCGTGCCACGCGCTTAGCAACAACTCGAAAATCCCTCCGTGCCACGCGCTTCCCGAACGAATGCGATCTGCACGACTGTCAATTCGATGTTGGCCGCTGCGGACGTCTGCATCAGAGCTAGCTTGGCGGGTCGCACCCTTGTTTTATCAGAGCGCGGGGCGGGGGGGGGGGGGGGGCGAACGGTCCTACACCGTCCCTGCGTGCGTGGGTGAAGTGGGGTTCCGTGGTGAGGTTCAGTATTGAGATTGCCGTGCCATCGTACTGCACACGACCCACCGCGCGAGCCACCCACGACCTATCCACAGTACCCACCCCGCGCCTGCAGCTGGCTCGTGGTGTGATGTGTAAATGATCGGTGTCTGCGACGGGCTTACTCACATTTGAGGTCGAGCCTCGCAAACTGCCAATGACCGCCCCCTCTCGCTCTTCTCCGCAACTGCGGGGACCCTTGTAACCTTGTCGCCGAGCTTCTGGAGCAGCGACTCGGAATTCTACAGCGTTGCAGTTCACTACTCCTCCTCCTCTTCCTCCTCCTCCTCTCAAGGTGCCCGCGGCGACAGGACGCCTTCATGAAATCCTCCTCGACGACATAGTCCCTGTCGGCACGGATGGCGAACATGCCCGCCTCCGAGCGCCCAGCGGGCAGGGGGGAAGCGGAATTCGGGAGGGGGGGGGAGAGGCCTCACCGCTCATCCTCTCCGCCTTCCTCCTCCCACTCCAACTCCCCTCTCCCCTCCTTGTGTTGGCCGGCTGGTCCAATACCTGCGTCTGGCACAGATTCCCCAACGCCGCCACCGGACACATGGGGGGCGAGGCCTATCCCACGCGCGAACTGGAATCACTCTGCTCGGTCTGCGTGGCAGATCCGAAAGGCAAAGACTGGGAGGACACTTGCGGTGCGGTGCAGCGCAAAATGCGGGTCAGAGCACCCTGTTCCGCAAGGGCGCCCAGGGGTCACACCCCCTAATTACCTGGGCATAGTCTCCAGCCGGGTCGATGACACAAAGGGGGATCTCTTGGTGGATGTTCGGCCCTCCGTGGCGGTCGGCGGTCGGAGCAGCGGAGGTGTTTCTACCGCCAAGGTTTGAAGAGCATGCACATCCTCTACACCCCTGTTCGCTGGGTGTAATGGTGTGGTTGTTGGTGTGCATTGCACGTCTCGAATACAGGCGGCCCGGATTAGTAGGTCGACCCTGCCAGATCCAAGGGTACCCTCGTGTCCGGTGTCTTGCGACCCATGCCTCCTGCATTTCTGTGGCAACGTGGCCCTCGGAAGGGTCTTGTGTCCCCTCGCGTGCCCTCTCCAATCAAGTCCGAAATGGAACGGGACTTACCAATTACCGTGGGCCTTCATCGGCGTGATCGGAGGTATGCGATGTGAGCTGGGCGCCCACTTGCCACAACGCCCAAAAAGGCATTCCCCTGGCGTGTCCACCGCCCACTTTGGGCGACTAAGCAAAAATAGCCCGCTAAGGCGGGGTGAATGTGAGGTGCCACTATCGATGTTTCGTCTACCCGGTTTGGGAATCTACAGTTGTTGGAGATAGTATGAATTCAAGTGTTCCCACATCGAACTAAATGCTCTCGGATGTGATGCAGCCGATGGACACAACTGCGTCTACTGAAGGGTGAGGGTGGCTTAGACGTTAGTCGAATACCTCCCTCGCCCTCTCTCTCTCTCTCTCTCGCAGTCTCCGTGGCAGCCTGGGGGCGAGCAGAATGAAGATTCAGATTTGCATGGTGGCGGGGTCCAATACACTCCCCCTTCCTCCCCCTCTCCTCCTTCTCATCCTCTCTCATCCTCCTCCCCATGTTCCTTCCTTTCCTCCCGCTCCTCCTTCCCCTCCTCTTCCAAACGCTCCGCCCACCCGCCTCCTCCCCTGCCTCCCACCCTCCCATCCCCAGAGGAAGGGTGAGAAAGACATGAGGGAGGGAAAGGGCGCCTCCTCCTTCCTTCTCGGCCTTCCGTTGTCAGAACTTCGCGCGCGTATGGTGAACAAACATCGAGCTTGCTGTCAGAACACGGGGGACAAGGACCCTTGTGGGGGGAGGGTCACAAAGCAACAATGACCTGTCTCAAGACGCAGACGTTGTAACTGGACAGGTAAATCACTGCACGCGTCAATGAGACACACGCTCTTCTCCTCCTCCCCTGCTTTTCGTCTCGCCCTTGTACCACTGACACTCGAAACTACGCTGGTTCACATCATTGGTCTTCGAACTGACGAGTGCAGCCCACCGTTCAAATCGCGTGGAAGTACACGGACACAAGCTCGTGTGGAAAGATGGGCACTTGCGCAAGCCGTGGTGGGCGCCATCGTGGGTTTACCCCCGTTTGATCGCAATGCTGAACATCAGACTGACACGGTGGCAATGGCTGCGTGAGGATCCGATTGATCGGGCGGCACACTCATCGAAACCCTTGACATCCCTTGACGTTGGCTCCAAGCTGCGCCGCGCATGAATACAATGACGCACCGCTGCACCGCGAATGGGCAATAGTGTAGATCCTGGTTTTGAGCGGGTCTGGACATCGAGCGAACGGTACCCGAGAGCAATATGAATGCACCTCAGATGCCTGAGTGAATAGGGTCCGAACCACGCATCAAGATTTTGGAGACCGAGCATCTGCAGGAATGCAAACACGCATCGCATACCAAGGCGAGACATCCCAGCCGACCACTAGAATGGGTTCGCCAAGCTGCTACCGAAGCCTCAGGCAACCGAGGCGACTGACAACACATACCACGATGCGGCGGTGGAGCCCTCGGCAGAAACGGCAACGGTCGTGAGTCCAGCAGGCCCGCGTAGCTGCCTGGCGCAAGGCCATCGCAGCCATGGACCAGCCGAGGGGAAAGACGGATATAGAACGGGCCTGGGTAGTGCACGGAGCATGCCCTGATCAAGCGTTCAAGCGAAACAGCGAATCAACGAGCGAAGGACTGGTAGCAGCGTCGGCACCAACGGGTAAAGTGCCTGATTCATCAGCTGTCTGCCTACTCCATTCCCCTCCCTATCGCCTGGTGATTCTCACTCGCTTGGGGCGCCATTGCTCGGATCGATCTGTGCCCAGCGCAGGAGCTGATCCAGCGTAGAAGCGGGATGGCTCTATAGGAGGGTGAACGTGGGGGCCACGCTGCAGTGTGGCAAACAGCATGCCTGGATGGCGCAGCATCTGCTCGGTGCTCGAGGGCCTTCCCTGCACATGGCGTTGCAGGGTGGGCCAATGAGAGCACATCATTACGACATCCTTCTGTGGCACCCATACCATCTTGATGGCTCTGGTGAATCGACGCCGATCGACGCCAACCGACGCTAAATCATCGCTGCTCGACGCTATAACTATATGTGTCTTCATCAGCTACCAGCCGCTGATCGACGCTAGCGCAACCTAAGAACGGCCTTACGAGGGTATGCAAGGCTCCGAAGATTTGCTGCCCAAACATCACATGCCCTTCTCTCCTCATTCATCTCCCCTCCTGTTGCCCCTGGGTGGCACCTTGGCGCGCAGTTGGCTCAGGAAATGCTTACGCAGGGTTGAGGGAGGTGACCAGTGGAAGAGGCGCATGCGCGATCCTCGTAGCAATCAAGGAAGCAGCTCTTCATGCCTGCCAGCAGCCGCCAGGCTCCGGGTAAGAGTCTCACATCCCCGATCTAGTGACCGTTGCCAGCACGACGCCAGCTCCAATACTTGTTGGTCAGAGGCCGCATGCGAGTCAGACGGCGGTCAAGCAGCGGCGGGGCGCGCTGGGGCACCAAGGGCACGGAAGAGGGGCGCGTCGGGGCGCGGGGAGGCCAGAGGGGTCGAGGGGGAGGGGAGCCACGCTCGGGCCATGAAGGGCTCCGTGTGCGCGCCGAAGAGCAAGCACTGGAAGTGTTAACGCCGAAGCATCCTCGTGATCCTTTCCCTCGCGTCCCCATCCTCTGCAGCCTGGTCCTCCCCTCGTCCTCCTGCTCTCCCCGTCCACCCCCTGCCGTCCCGCACACAGCCTCTCCTTCGCGATCCCGTGCCCTCCTCCCCCCTGCTCCCCTCTCCTGCCCCTCGTCCTCCCCCTCTTCTTCCTCCCAGTGAATCTCGTCATTGATATTGGCGGCGTCGCGCTTGTCCTCCTTCCCATCTGGAAGCGCCCCTTCTGAACATCCAGGTATGGAGGGATGACAGGGGACAGGGGGACGTGAGAGGGCGGAAGGGAGGAAGAAGGGAGTACAACGGGTAAGGGGAGGGGGGAGGGGGTAAGGCCTGGGGAGCGGAAGCATGAAGATGAGAAGAAAAGACGAGGGAGCCACAAGAGGAGGATACCTTCTGATTTCCAAATGATTCCCACTGACCATGAATCATCGCATACTTCTTCCAATCTATCCGTTTCCATGATCCTCCTCCACCCCCTCTCGGGCGCACGCGAACATGGATTACGGATCCGTGGTTCTGGCGCGTGGGCGTCGCACCTTCTATCGGAGAATGCACCCCCGGGGCGTGAATCCGATGCCGCCTGATCTGGCGACGAATCGCGCCGCGTCAGCACGAAAACGACACCCGTCGCTAATCCGCGAGCGTGCGTCCATGGTTGCGTTTCCTTGAACCTTGCTTGTCCACTGTGCCCGTCCACCGTCCGTCGCCCCTGGCCCCTATTGATCGCCCTCCTCCTGCTCGTCCTGCTCCTCATCTCCCTGCTCCCGCTCACCCCATGCACCCTTCCTGCACCATGTCATGCAGATCCTGCTGCTGCTGCTTCGTCCTTCCTCCTCCTCTTCTTCCTCCTCCTCCACCTGCCCCCTCCTCCTCACCCGACCCCATCCTTCTCGTGCCCCACTCCTGGGCCATCCCGGAAGACCACCATCACCCACTGGCAAAACAACTCGCCGCATGGGCCCCACCGCCAGCACACACGGCGTGCAAGCATCGGGCGTAGACCCACAGGGAATACTGGGAGTATGTGCCACCCACGTTGCGCGCCATGGTCTGCGCGATCCATGAGGTTGCTTTTCATGCTGCGCCATCCATGGGTTGCGCCCGAAGTTACGTCATCGATGGCTTGCGTCATAAACAGATTGCGCCGTGCCCCAGCCACGGGTTGCGGCATGCATGGGGTGCGCCGATGGTTACGCGATCCATTGGTCTCGCAATTGCACCATGTGCTGTGCCACCCGGAGGTTGCGACACAGGTTGCGCCATCGGTGGGCTGCACAACGCAGGCTCTACGATGCATGGCTTGTACGGTGTCCAGGTTGCTCCAGATGGGTGGCGCCACCGATGCGGTTGCGCCATAGGCTGGGCAATCCGCAGGTTGCGCAAGTCGAAACACCCGCCCAGGCCACGGGACGGAGTGGGCGAGGTGACGGGGTCAGGGCTGGGACGAGGTGGAGCAGGAACTCCAAATTCAGACATCCTGAGTCGGCAGTAGCGTGAAAGGTTAAACACGCCACGGTGTCTTACCCAAGACGGCGCGTGTCCGTGTCGAGTGGCTGCATGAAAAACTGCTTGAAAGCCTTGGGCTGATGAGGTTGATTAAACTATTAGTTGTGTACAAACTCTGTCATCAGTATCCAGACTGATTGAAGGGGTAGCGGGTAGCCTGCTGACCAACTCCTGTTGAGGGACTTTGATCTCTCCGGACGGCGCGGTCA